TTTGGTCTGTTGGAAGATCGGCGAGGTGTGCGATCTCAGTGGGGGGTGAGCCCCTTACATTGTGCGTTTTCCCTCTTAGTCCGACCTTGGCTAACCTGAGATGTGCTCCATAGGCAGTTCTCCTCACGACGATGTGTAGAGGTGTGAGATCCAAAATGACCTCTAGTGCTGCTGTTGGAGCTGATCTCATTGCTCCTGTTATGCAAAGACATGCCAGTCTTTGCACCTTCTCTAATATTTTCCTTGTAGTGGCGAGTTCGGTTCTGCCGTGCCACACTACTGCTCCGTAGGTGATCATTGACCAATACCTATACTAAGTAGGACAGTAAAACATTTTTCAATAATATAAAAATGTAAACATAACTTTCTTCCTCCAGAACAGGTGTGTTTTTTAGACCTATCGTTGTTGAGGGGTTTGTCTGACATTGTTCTTTGTTTTTCTCTCACTCTAGTGCTCCTATATATGTAACATTAACGCTGATGATGAAGCTTTAAAGCTTCGAAACATGTCCCTGTAAGATTGCTTACAATAAAGTATAGTTTTGGTGGAGTAGACTGTAAGATTTTTTCCTGTCCTATTGCCTTCACTCCACTGTAAGATGGATCGCCTCAGATGGTTCCTATACTAAGTGGTTAAGTGCTCAAACAGGAAGAGCTGTTGATTAAATCAGTTAGGTCATTTTGTGTTCATTTGGGAACATTTTGATAGGATATAGCAACATTCATCGCCTGTCATGATGCCTTTACAGGAATAAAAATGGATCTCCAGGTGTATTGGTGAATATATATATATATACTTATCAGAGTGAGCTTGCAGCCAATCATACAATATAATCAATCACTTGAGGTGCCAAACACGCAGAAACTTCAGCATATCTGTTATACAGTAAAATAAAATGAGTTTCCAATATAAACAGATATCCTTATATGAATATCCAGTTGTCTGTATGTATACCAATCATAATACAGCCGGAATATTTTTTTTTTCAAAATGACATTCTGATCCCGATATGGTGTTTCTCAGCCCTCATTTCGGTGGGCTCTGTGATAGCAAGCAATTAAGACACTGAATACAATGCGGAATGTAATTTGAAATGTCCCATCTGAATTTTCTTCCAATTAAGATAGCATTCCTGGCCTATTATCGCTACGGCCAATTTAGCCACGATCTTAATGATTGTCCCCAACACCACCTGGTACCCTCACCCTACCTTGCATTCTCAAATTCAGTCTCACTGCTTTGGATACACTATTATACACTCCACATGTACAGTTGATGAATTGATGGAATGGGTTATTTATGATAACTTTATTCAAGAACAATGTGGGTATCTAAATCTAAATCTTAAGGGTATATACTTCATTGAATCTATAACTTTCTTAATAGCAAATACAATGAATCAAACATTTATCATGCAAATGAATACAAAAAGCTCAAAGTCATTACCATACAATGTTCATAAAATGAACAACAATGGTAGATTTTGGGAGAAAAACAACTACTTTCCTGGCTAATGCCATGCACGCAGAACATTGAATTACATCTTCCCGAAATCTATGCATCGACTCGTATAAATGAATACTAATACAAGTGATTTTTTCCTGAATGCCTATTGATTTCGATTTAGCCAGGCCACGCTAGACACCCACAGATGGCGTTGCTTTCATATTGTCTATGAAAGACGCCTCTGGGGGAATATAATGCCGATTTGATTTTTGTTTGGCTAGGCTACGCAGATTCACTACAAGCTATTGGTAACTGACGAAGATCATGAACGAGTAAATAGTGGTCAAAGATTAGATTTGGTAATATTTCCACCAGCAGATGGCAACGAAAGTGACGTGGATGATGCATCAAGCGATGATGACATGGGCCACAGTATTCCTGACATTGGAAAAGGTGTGTTGAGACAACCAATGGAAGTTCCTACCGAAAAAAGACCGATATACAGGGTGTCCCACTTACCATGCTCACCATGGGTATCTTTTAAACGGTGAGAGATACGAGGTCGGTTAAATGACACCAAATGTGGAGTTTGTCAAGGCCAACCATAATGTGAAAAAATATTTTCATAAAATCTATTCGTTTTTGTTTTATACGCAAAAAAACAGATTTTGATCATTTTCATGTCTCCTCCGTAACTTCTTTATTTATGAAAATATTCAAATAGGAATTTCACATTCTCATGGCAGTTTTTCAAAGTGATTTCGAAAACTATATGAAATGTATACCAACTCTTCTTGAATTTGAGATATCAGCACCAACTTTAGTTTTTCAAATGTAGGTCATAGCTCACTATGACTTAGTTACAAATAACGTTTTTTTCTCTTTCAGATGATACGTCGCAGTAATAGTTTTGTGTTGATAACAACGGAGTTATCGTCATTTATACAAGAACAAAAAATTATTTGGAAGCCGCCATCTTGAATTTATAAATTTCAACAAGAAAATCATGATCTCCGACCTCAAAAACACTCACTTACCAATTTTGAATGGAATCGGACCAAATCTTGTTCGCCATCTTGGAGCAGCCATTTTTTTTAATTTCAAATTTTTAACAAAAATTTTATAATGTATTGTCACCGAAATTATGAACACCTGCCAAATTTCAAGTTAATCGGAGTTATGGAATTTTTGTTGAAATTAAAAAAAATGGCTGCTCCAAGATGGCGGACAAGATTTGGTCCGATTCCATTCAAAATTGGTGAGTGGGGGTTTTTGAGGTCGAAGATCATGATTTTCTTGTTAAAATTTATAAATTCAAGATGGCGGCTTCCAAATAATTCTTTCTTCTTGTATAAATGACGATAACTCCGTTGTTATCAACACGAAACTATTACTGCGACGCATCATCTGAAAGAGAAAAAAGTTATTTGTAACTAAGTCATAGTGAGCTATGACCTACATTTGAAAAACTAAAGTTGGTGCTGATATCTCAAATTCTAGAAGAGTTGGTGAAAATTCCATATTTTTTTCGAAATCACTTTGAAAAACTGCCATGAGAATGTGGAATTACTATTTGAATATTTTCATAAATAAAGAAGTTACGGAGGAGACATGAAAATGATCAAAATCTGTTTTTTGCGTATAAAACAAAAACGAATAGATTTTATCAAAATATTTTTTCACATTATAGTTGGCCCTGACAAACTCCACATTTGGTGTCATTTAACCGACCTCGTATCTCTCACCGTTTGAAAGATACCCATGAGCATGCTAAGTGGGACACACTGTATAAAGAAACTAGTGATGACGATAGAAAACTGGAATTCACTGCAGTTCATGACAATGAGGAAAATGATGTAGGTACAAACGAGCTACAAGAAGAAATCATTTTTGATGCATCAGATACTAGTGACGACAATATTTCTGTAGATATGTTGGCAAATAAAATAAAACTTGATAGAGCATCTGAAGATAAACCTGAAAAAAAATTGAAAATATGAAGAGTAAACAGAAAAAAGAAAAGAAAATCATTAGAAGTTGGACAGAACATCAGTTGAAAGGAAACGGTAATAAGGAGAGACCGAAAATAAAAAAAACTGCAGAACCTGCTATAGTACAGAAAATCAGGGATGATGATATGTCACCAGTAGATCTATTCAAAATGTTTTTCACAGAAGAGTTCATCAAGGAAATCTGCAATGAGACACAAAAGTATGCATCCTTCAAAGGAAAACACGACCTTGTTGTTTCTACTAAGGAAATGTACATATATTTTGGCATACTGCTTCTTTCTGGTTATTGTAAACAACCTTTTCGAAGGATGTACTGGGAGACCAAAGCAGACACATATCTGTCTTCTAAGTAACAGCATATCTCGTGACAGATTTGAAACAATTCATCGCTATTTACATTTCAACGATAATAATTCCATAGATCCAAATAACAAAACATATAAAATTCAACCACTATACTAGATCAGATAAACAAGGTTTCTCAAGACTCAACCCAGCCCCTAGGAAAGTCCTTTTCACTAGAAAGTTCATCAGAGGAAAACCAATTAGATATGGTTTCAAATTTTGGTGCCTCACTACTTCAGAAGGATATTTGTTGGGATTCAACCCGTATTGTGGTGAAGGAGGCAGAATTGAAGGAAAAACTTTAGGTTCTAGTGTTACTGAAACTCTTTGCATTGGCTATTTACCTGATAAGTCAACAGTTTTCATCGACAACTTTTTCAATTCGCCTCCACTTTTGGAAACTCTCACAGCAAATAACATTTATTGTATTGGTACTCTGCGATCAGATAGAATTGAAAAAGCTCCACTAACTGATCTGAAACGAAAACTAATTTAGTTCTGATCAGGTGGCATGACAATAGTCGAGTTACCATCGGGACTAATTATTATATGGAAAATGGGACATGCTTCACAAAAGGATTCTGCAAGAGATGGTCAAAAGAAGAAAAGAAACGTGTAGATGTCGATCAACCCAACATAATACACCTATATAATCAAGGAATGGGAGGTGTCGACTTATTTGACAAAATGCGAGGATTGTTTCGTGTCAAAATTCGATCAAGGGCCATTTATTGGATTTTGTCTCAACGGTGCAGTTGTGAATATGTGGATGCTATATAGATTTGCTCATCCTAAAATCAGCCTTATGCAGTACATACGAAGGATTGTGCTCTCTCTGCTGAGTTCTCCAATGTATTTAGCTGGACCTAAGCCCAAGTGCACTAAAAGCATCCTGCAAGAGGTGAGATTTGACGGTGTCGACCATCTAGTTGTGACAAGTGCAATATTGGATTACATCCAGACAGCTGTTTCCGCTTATATCATACACCATCGAAATAATTGGCCCACAATAATTAATATTTAAATAATTTGAATCAATAAAACTTTCATTTCAGGCATTTATACATTATTTCGTATTTTACCCTCATACCTCATAATGCTAACCCCCATATGCCTACCGTATGATATATCATACGTGAAAAAAATCTACTCTAAACAAAAAATTAATGGTGAACACGTTTACATAGTTAATCTAGATGCCAATTGGAACTCTTCCTGAAAAAATAACCAAAATCGACAAAAAAAATTACTCAGGCACTAATGGGTTCCTTAATGTAATCTCGGCCGTACAGTCGCTGCAGGTGATTAATGAAGCGAAGTATTAAGTAATACCTAAGTAAGAAAGTAACTGTTAATGCACAGGCCAAACCTCTTGGCACGTCTTCAGTGTTTTAGCTCTGCTCGCATGATGCGAAAGTGACTTGCAGGAATATCTTCCAATGAGCTCTGCAGAGAGCAAGATCGATAATAATAATTGGACTATCCGTCTTTCGATTGGTTGAGATGCTCGTGAAATTTGAATGATTTACATCGAGGCAATCGTGTTTTCAGAGTTTCTGGAAATCATAACTATAGAAGGTGTTTCCTAACTATGGTACATACATGCAAAACTTCAGAGGGTTTTCGTTAGATCGTTTTGAGAAAAAAGTTCCAATGAACATAATAATGTCCGGAGTTGCTTCGTTAATGAGATACAGGGCGCTGAAATTTTAAAAATCAAGTCAAATTTAATACTTGCTTTAAATAAAAGGTGTGAAACAGTGAGTATCAAGTTCGGAAAAAATGGGCGAGATGTTTTTTTATACATTAACTAAGAATAAGTATAGTAGTTTTCCTAACAAGTGCGGAAAGTGATACTTTCCCGCACGCGAATGCCGTTGACCCGAACGATGCGAAGCGCAGATCGGGCAAGCAGTTGACTGCGGGAAAGACGCTTTCCGCATGAGTTAGGAACAATAGTCTTTCTACAAGCATAGGAAATTGATTGATTTGTTCAATCAATCATTCCTGCAAATAAGAACAACTAACAATAGTGATATATTCTCTACCTTCTAATAATTAGTGATATACCTATATCTTATTGCGGAAACCAGCATGCCCATGGTGTTTGGCCTCTAGGTTTCAGACATTTTTAGGAAATGAGCCAAAAATACTCCTTCTTTATTTGGCGTCTTCACTTTTTTAATATTGCACCATTCAATAAATCTCGTGTAGTGCTTCTCATATACCTTTCTTAAGACTTCGTTGGGAAAGGTGTATTAATGAAGCACTATACCGTCAAAATGTATTTGTTCGTTTAGCTAAGAGACCTGTGGATTTCAAGAATATTCAGCAAAGGACCTTTTTGACGGATATGCATTTCTAGATCTTCGTTTATATTGAAAGAGTGTTGAAAATTGAGAATATAATAAGCAAATGAACTGAATGCATAGATTCCAGGAGGATCGAATTCAATGTTCTGCGTGGCATTAGCGAGGAAAGTAGTTGTTTTTCTCACGTCATCTACCATTGTTGTTCATTTTATGAACATTTGTGTAAATTACTTTGGGCTTTGTATCTAAACTACGCAACACTAATTTCGTCGCAGTCCTTCAGCTATAATCTCGTACTTTCTTAGAACATGAGGTTCTTCATATTAAATCGCTACAGGGTGTCATTTTCAAACGGATCCCAAATGAACAAGAACTTTTTTTTTCAACTTCGACAGCAGAGGAATGAAGATGATCTCATTACCTAGGGATATTTTTCAAATTATCTTCCTATCTCTTTCATTCACAGAGTGATCTCAAAAAATTTACTTTCTGGTTTTGCAGTCATAACTTTTTTCCTTGTCAACCCGTTTTGAAAATCTCATTTTGAAGCTGCAACTTCAGATGAAGAGATATGAAGATCAGAATTGACTCAAGATGAACATTATACAGTATGTGTCTCACTCAGAACTTCTAATAGTTCTAATGGAAGCACACCTGTATGTTTCGTAATTGTTGAGCTACGATTCTGAAACTCACAGGAGCGGGAGATATAGTGAAAATAAACACTATGACCAAGTGAAGTTATCTCCAGTGATGAACACTGCTCGCCAACAGCCATGGAATCACCCAAATTTCCGGAAAATGTTATTAGGAACCGAGATAGGTTGAAAATCACTTCGGATTCGAAATCAGGACGTCCAATTCACTGACTATAGATACATATTCTTACTGGAAAATTTTCAGCTCAGAAAAATCAGATTTTGTCTCACTTCTCATAGAAACACCCCTATAGCTCACGTATTAATTGAGGTATGGTTCTGATATTTGCAAGAGGAAGCAAAAGAATGTCCTGATTTTGAATCCGAAGTGATTTTCAACATATCTTGCCTCCTTATATCATTTTTGTAGGTGGTTCTATGGCTGTTGGCGAGCAGTGTATATCACTGGAGACGTCTCCAGTTGGTCATAGTGTGTATTTTCAGTATATCTACCGCCCTTTCAAATTCCAGAATCCTAACTCAACAATTACGAAAGATACAGAAGTGAGACACACTGTATGATTTTCATCTTGAGTCAATTCTGATTCTCATATCTCTTCATCTGTAGTTTGAGCTTCAAAATGAGCGTTAGTTTTCGGAAATCGGTTGACGAGGAAAAAAGTTATGACTGCAAAACCAAAAAGTTAATTTTTTGAAATCACTCTGTAAATAAGAGAGATAAGGAGAAATTTCCAGAACTGTCTCAAGATAATGAGATCATCTACATACCTCTACTGTCAAAGTGGAAAAAAACTGTTTTTCTTCATTTGGGATAGGTACTTTTGAAATTTCCCAAATTTTGCACAGTTTCAGGTAACACCCTGTAGCGATTTTATGTGAACAACCTTATGTTTTAAAGAATCACGAGATTATAGCTGAAGGACTGGGCTAGCGAACAGTGTGATCCGAATTCAAATCGTTCGAAGCAGAAAAAAGTTATTCATATTTTAACAGAGGCAAAATTTTGGGCTGCGACGAAATTAGTGTTGTGTAGTTTATTTATTTAGCATTCCATCTCACTTTGAGCATGCTGCCTTTTTCGTAGTTGATAAATGTAAGAACACTTTTCCTTTCCAGGTCCGCGAACGAGAAGGCCAAAGAAACCCGCCATAAAGCCAGTGGGGCCCAGCACCACCATAGCGGAAGAGAAACGGCCTAGAACGGCCTTCTCAGGGGCCCAATTGGCCAGGCTGAAGCACGAATTCGCCGAGAACAGATACCTGACGGAGAAGCGACGGCAGCAGCTCAGCGGAGAGCTGGGCCTAAACGAAGCGCAGATCAAGATCTGGTTCCAGAACAAGCGCGCCAAAATCAAGAAGGCCTCTGGTCAAAAGAACCCCCTAGCGTTGCAGCTGATGGCCCAAGGACTTTACAACCATTCGACCATTCCCCTCTCGAAGGAGGAAGAAGAAATGCAGGATATGCACGATCACGGGGGCTCGTAGGAATGGTTGCCACTTTTGGGGATTTCATATGTGGAATAGTCAGTCTTTATTTGATGGTGATAATTTGATGCTTCCAGTTCAAGAGTCGTATATTTCTTGTTCTAATGCGTGATGAATCTCTGAGAATTCTATGGATGAATTAACTATCAAACATCGAGATAGCCCAGTCTCATTTATACAGGGTGGCCACTTTCTACAATTTTACTCGTGGTTTCATCATTTTTCAACCGAATTTGAATTTATTGACGTCATTTTGTAGATAAAGGGTTATAGTATACAGTGCAACATTTGAGAATTCCATAATTTGAAAACAAAAAGTGGAGTATCTCAAAAATTTGTGATTTACAAAAACCGCTGGCGAATAATTCCCCTCTCGAAGGAGGAAGGAGAAATGCAGGATATGCACGATCAGGGAGGCTCGTAGGAATGGTTGCCACTTTTGGGGATGTCATATGTGGAATAGTCAGTCTTTATTTGATGCTTCCAGTTCAAGAATCGTATATTCTTGTTCGAATGCGTGAAGAATCTCTGAGAATTTTATGGATGAATTAACTACCAAACATCGAAATGGCTCAATCTCATTTAGACAGGGTTTTCACTTTTTACAATTTTCCTCATGGTTTCATCATTTTTCAACCGAATTTGAATTACTTGACGTCATTTTGTAGCTAAACGGCTATAGTATACAGTGCAACATTTGAAAATTCCATAATTGAGAAAAACAAAAAAGTGGAGTATCTCAAACATTGGTGATTTACAAAAACCGCTGACGAATAATTCCCCTCTCGAAGGAGGAAGAAGTAATGCAGGATATGCACGATCAGGGAGGTTCGTTAGGAATGGTTGCCACTTTTGGGGATGTCATACTGTGGAATAGTCAGTCTTCATTTGATGGTCGTGATAATTTGATGATTCCAGTTCAAGAATCGTATAATTCTTGTTCTAATTCGTGAAGAATCTCTGAGAATTCTATGGATGAATTAACTACCAAACATCGAAATGGCTCAGTATCATTTTGACAGGGTAGCCACTTTCTACAATTTTCCTCGTGGTGTCATGTTTTTCAGCCTAATTTGAATTTCTTGACGTCATTTTGTAGCTAAAAGGCTATAGTATACAGTGCAACATTTCAAAATTCCAAAATTGAAAGTAACAGAGAATTGGAGTATCTCAAACATTTGTGATTTACAAAAACCGCTGGAGAATAATCCCCCTCTCGAAGAAGGAAGAAGAAATGCAGGATATGCACGATCAGGGAGACTCGTTGGAATGGTTGCCACTTTTGGGGATGTCATATGTGGAATAGTCAGTCTTTATTTGATGGTGATTATTTGATACTTCCAGTTCAAGAGTCATATATTTCTTGTTCTAATGCGTGAAGAACCTCTGAGAATCCTATGGATGAATTAATTACCAAACATCGAAATATAGCTCAGTCTCATTTATACAGGGTGGCCACTGTCTACAATTTTCCTCGTGGCTTCATCATTTTTCAACCGGATTTGAATTTCTTGACGTCATTTTGTAGGTCAAGGGCTATAGTATACTGTGCAACATTTGAAAATTCCATAATTGAAAAAACGAAATGGTGGAGTATGTCAAACATTTGTGATTTACAAAAACCGCTGGCGAATGAGAAAATTAGATTTGTTTCCAACCTGTAATGAGGTCATTATAGACCATTCATTTCTGAAGAGAATGAGTACTCGAACATCGAGATCGAACCAATAGTCCAGGAGATACACTCACTTTTTCCCAGTTTGTTATGGAGTAGGTAAATGTGATGCTAATCTCGTAATAACGTCAATTATTATTTTGCTTCTGGCTTTTACAAATTTCAATCGATTTCGGATTTCTCAAAGCCATTTCAAAGATAAAAAGCTGTATTACACAGTGGAACATCAGAAAATTTCATAATTGAAAAAAAAACGAACTGCATGGTGGATTATCTCAAAAATTTTTCATTAACAAAAACAGCTGGCAAATGGAAAAATCTTAATTCTTCCAATCAGAACCGATGCAATTATAGATCATTGATTTCTAAAAAAAATGAGCGCTCGAACATCTGAATCGAACAAATAGTCCAGGAGATACATAGGTACGTTGCTAGAAAGTGCGTACATCTCCCAATCTTCTTCATCACAAATGTTTGAGATGCTTCACCATTTTGTGTTTTTTTCAATTATCATGGAATTTTCAAATATTGTACTGTATACTAGAGCCTTTCAGCTACAAAATGGCGTCAAGAAATTCAAATTCGGTTGAAAAATGATGAAACCACGACGAACATAAAAACTTCCGGTTTTTTTGTGACCACCCGATATATCATTTCGTTATCAGATGACGGTCACAATTTGCAGCCGGCTCTTGGACTATAATGAAATTTGTCCTATGATGTTCGGGTTTCGAAATGTTCAACTGTCTCAATAATTTGTTTTTTGAAAAGATGAACATAATTATGTTCACATTTTTCTGATATTATTCATTTTTTTTTTCAATTTGGACACCGCACTTTTATAGGGGAAACTGACCTCCTGTCGAATTTGCTGAACTTTTGATATGTTATATAGGCCAAGGCATTCTGAACAAAATTCCCAAACACCAAACTGATGTAATGGCTAGTTTTGGCGCTAGAGGCCGCTGAAGTCTCAATCTTGATTTCTTTGCTCCTGATAAATAATGCTCTATGAGCTATTATTATATTATTTCTTCATAGGATCAATCACTACGAGACGCCTCTCACGGAATATATTGCCGATTTTTGTTTGGCTTTTAGTCGGCGGTCTTAAGACTGCTGGCTGGAGACTGCTCTGCACTGATGAGAGACAACAAAGAGCTCGAAACCGGTCTGTAGGTGTCTAGCGTGGCCTGGCTAAATCGAAATCAATAGGCATTTAGGAAAGACTCGAGTCGATGCATAGATTTCGGGAGGCTGTAATTCAATGTTCTGCGTGGCATTAGCCAGGAAAGTAGTTGTTTTTCTCCCGAAATATACCATTGTTGTTCATTTTATGAACATTGTGTGGAAATGACTTCAAGCTTTCTGTATTTATTTGACATCTCTCTTCCTTATGATCTGAAGAATTGAGTTGTCTCTTGGGACATCGTATAAGGTCTCTCATAAAAATGTTAAACTAGTACAAGAGGAACATATATTTTTTTCAAATTATCATGCTGAGTAAACGGAAAATTAGACCGAAATCGACAAAAGTATAATAAAAAAGAATTGCCGGTCCCTCATGAATTGCTTTTGCTTTTTATAAAATTGAGACTACGATAATTATTATATACTGTTTCCACACATCTTCATGAATCGCTTCATAGTGCTGTACTCATCGGATCCCAGATTATTCTGTTACCGAAATAACAAAAATTCCGTACAGATTTCTGAACTTTGTTAACAATTTCAAGCAGTTTTTGCTTGGCTTGTCGAGGCGATACACTGCTAAACCGTCAAAGCCCTACTTAAAGAGCTGGGCCACTTTTTGCTGCAATCCTTTTAGTATGTTGGCATTGTTTCTTTAATTCTACAATTCTCAGAGGTTCGTCTCGCAAAAAATATATTAATGTACCATTCATTTGAACACAATTGCGAGTTGTGTGGTACTAAATAACTTTTTTGTTGTGCCATTATTGTTCCAGCTGATTATACAGGTCTATTATATTATTCCTTCCTTTTACTCTCAAGTCAGGTATAATGCACCTCGAGGATTTTTTTTCAAACAGGATTTTTCTCAATGGAAAAAGGTTAAATATTCCTTGTAGTCGGTTAGTATACCACACCATCAAATGTTCAAATATTTAATCTTGTCGGGAGTTCTGTTTTATTTACGTTTTTAAGTCGTCAGTATTCATTTTTATTAGGTGAGCTGTGGATACTAAACCAGTCGTAAAATCGAAATACAAATCCAAATTAGTTCTGACTATATAAGAGTATGTAAACCTTCGAATGTGTGTTTCTGGTTAAAAAGAACTAGAATACTTTTCTGCGATTATCGGTATGTTTATACCGGGTGTTCCAGAACTTTTAGGCCAGCAGATGATCTGGGTTATCGAACATACATACAATTTCAAAAAATTGTGAAATTTATATGATGGGAGCAATAAAATGGTGAGATCAAATCACCCACGTGTCAAAAATTCTACTAGAAACCACCCCTTACTTTGGTTTTTCAAATTGCACCGTCACTTTTGATAAGGAATACGAAGATATTCGCTTTCTAATTCTCCGCATTTGCTAAAATTTTCAACTAAGGTCTCATCCCATAGAGAATTTTACGCAGAATCCAGTGGTGCACTCAAGTTGTTTTCTCGGCTAATGCTTTTTCAAATGGAACACCCTGTATTGAATAAGCTCATTGAATTCTTTATTTCTTTTCCATCAAAATGATTTACAATGTATAAATGTAAAACTTTCAAGAATGCTCCAAAGTCACTAAGACATTGAATTTTAATAGTAGGCTATGGATTTTTCATATAAAAAGTTCCAATTGAAGGAATATTTCTTTTGATTCTTCCATGAAGAGGACAAAAACAATACCAACACTAATAACACTAATCAATTAAGAAAACACAAATTAGATACAACAAATAAATAGTAATAAAAAGTTCATAATAAAGTACCTGATTTTTGTGTTTTCTTCTTAGTGAATTAGTGTTGGTGTTGTTTTTGTCCTCTTCATGGTAAAATCAAAAGAGATAGGTAGATTCCTTCAATTGCAACTTTTTTATCTAAAAAATCCAAAACTCACTATTGACATTATTTTGGAGCATTTTTGAAAATATTATATTCATACATTATATAACATCTCGAAGAAAGAGAAAAAAATGAGGAATTCAATGTGCTTGTAAAATACAGGGTGTTCCGTTTAAAAAATCATAAGTTTGAGTCGTATCTCCAAAACCATACCCCGACAAAAAATTTTGAGTGCGCCACTGGATTCTGCGTAAAATTCTCTATGGAATGAGATCATGATTTGACATTTTCGCTGAGAAACTTCGTAGATATAGAGGGGGTCCAAAAAGTATGAATTTTCAAAATCGCCCTGTATCTCATAAACGGAAACAATTATGCAAAATTTGATTAGGCCATCTTGAGTTTCACAAGAAAAGGGCACAGGACCGCGAAAACCGCAAGGTTCTATCTCGAGAGATAACTGAGATATCACGCAAAAGCATCAAAAACTGGACACACTGTACACTTCACATTACTAATATCATGTTCTGCATAATTATTCGAGATAATTCTGTCGCTTCATTGTTCACAAAATTGTGCT